CAAAAAATCCTGCTCGCTCGGCCAACCTCATTGCCAGTGTGGGACGCTCATCCTTCTGAGGGATGTGGAAAGGTATCCAGGCTGGGCTTCCTGGCTGTCCCCCGCAGCCCAGCCTCTGAGCAGGTCCTGCCGAGGTTCATGGGAGCGGGGCATCGCTCGAAGGGGAAGATTTGGCCCTTTGCAGCCCGAAGCAAGCTAAGGCCGAGGTCCCGAGGCATCATCTGGATTTCTGTGTGGGTTTGGAAGCAACGTTACTGCTTGAGGCAAGCGGTTGGCAGCAGTGCTCCAAAAGGGATCTGGCAGTGACATTCCCTCTCAAATGTCTGGCTATCAGCTTTAAGTGCAATAAGCTTTACATACAGACTGGAACATCATTACTTTCTAAATGAGACAGAAGGGGTTTTTTTAAGTACTTTTCTGTTCAGGCATTACATTTTCATCTGTGCAGTGACAAGGAGCCACCTAAAGTGTGTGAATGATGATGGTGGGGCTGAAGAAGAGCGTGTCCCTGGGACTGCCTGCGTGATCAGTGTCCCTGCAGGCAGGGCAGGTTTTAGGGCCCTGTTTGGAAGAAGGGGCAGATCGCTGGCCCGGGTGGTGCAGGGAGTTAGTACCAGGTCCTGCTGTGCCCGGCTGCCCTACGTGGGGGAGGAGGGAGGTCTCAATGACCAGAGTCTTTGCTTTAAGCTAAGCTTAGAGGCAGAACAGTCCAATGGAGGCACGCGGGTTCAACCTGCAAACCCCGGGCTTGCCTTTCCCGGCTATGGGTGCCGCGGGCATCCATTTGGACCCCCAGCACAAAGTGCCGGCTCCAGCCATGAGCCCTTGCGTTAGGGCTTTTGATGCCACAGCCAGCAAGCTACCACCCGGCAGCGATGAATCACAGCCATGACTGGAGAGGGGGTGGTTTGTGTTTGTGTTGGCAAAACTGGCTGCGAGTGGCGGCAGGCCCAGACAGCACGAGAGGCCGAATCTGGAAGGGCCCCATTGCCGAGGCAGAGATCAATGGGAGATGGGAGGTTTAACATCGCAGGGTGACGATTCCTGCCAAGAGCCCTTCCACAATAAAACCAGCAAATCAATCCACCATCCTGGAGCTGAGTAACTCCAGATGAGGATTGCTCGTTTTGCCTAATAAATATGACCAACAGTTTGCTGTTCCTTTAACAGTAGTTTAGGAAAAAAAAACCAACACAATTATACTTTCCTGTGCATCAGAGAATCCCATTTCCCTCCTTGATTAGAAGGGGTCACACCAAACACTGGGTCAACACTTGGGTGCAGCAGAGAAGGGCAGGGACACCCCATAGGAGCTTGGGAAGAGTAAGAAAAAGGGCAAAGAAATTATAATTTACAAAAACCAGCAATAGTTAAGCCAGTTCTAGATCAACAGCCCTAACCAGGACCCTGCGCATCCTAGGAGGGCTTTTCAGGACTGTGGTGTAGTGATTTGTGGAGCACAGGCTGGTCAGAGACTGCATGTCCCCGCTGCTGGGAGCAGATCCGGGATATTGCTTTGTGCCATCAGGGCTCAGGTTTGTCCATCTGAGATCCAGAGAAAGCTCATCCCAGCTTCCATTCCAACAGACTCAGATGAATATCTTGATCAGAAAGGGGATTTTGGGGTAGTGGCAGGGTTTATTCCAAGGTTGGAATAAACTTGAACTCATTTGGGAAGATCTTTATCACATCAGTATCTGACATGAATGAGACAAGATAAGCTGTAAATTCAGCGTTCATAATAGATTTGTTCATAGAAATGGAGAATAAGAATTGCTTTATTTCTTATATTAAAGAAAAAAATGCACGATGCTTTATAAATGAGAAACAACAGAAAAACTATGCCCAGAAACCCTGACAAAGACTCTGATTCACAGCTGGCTTTAGTTGATGGTGTTCTGGAGTACCTGGTCAGATCCTGTGAGGTCAGTGCAGCTAAACTAATTTAAATCAGGTGAGAAACCAGCCCTCAGTGAAACCCAGGAGATATTGAGTGCATTAGTCAGCCAGAGCTTGGCTATCCCTACTGGGACAACAGGGGTCCCCACTGTCCCCAAGCCAACCCCGGGCAGCCTGCATAGTGGTGTCCCCTCCTGGATGTGCTCCTCAGGTTGGGTAACAGCATGTCTGGGATGTCCTGGCAGGGACGGGGCAGCTGTCGAGGGTTATTCAGAGTCCTCACTGCCTCCTCTGACCTCAGGAGCTGCCTGCCCGCATTCACGGGGAGATTTATGGTGCTGTTTTCCTCTCTTTCCCGGTGTTCAAGTGGCCAAGGGACTGATCCTTCATGGGATCAGTTCCTGGGAGTCAGAGGGGCACAGCGTCTGTCTGGTTTCCATTGGATTAGGCCAGGATTTGTTTCCCTAAGAGGTTTCCTAAGCAAAAGTTTTGCTGAAAGCCTGATTTCTCAGTTAACACAAGTTTCCTGTGCCTCATTTGTAATGTTAGTACATTGACCTGACAAAATCATCATTGTCATTAATGATAATTGCTTTGCCCTTTTTCCCGAGCTCCTATGGGATGTCCCTGCCCCTCTCCGCTGTGCCAAGTGCTGACCCAATGTTTGAGGTGACAATACATCAAATCCAGTCATTCAAATGGCCTTTCCTTGAACAACCCCACTGACCTGCAACAGGGACACAATTAAATCAGCTGAGTTGCATGTCCCATGCAACTGCTCCTTCAGCTGGGCTCATTAACCTGTCACCCCTTGAGCTCCGCCGTCCTGGCCATCGCACTGAACATGGTATCTGCGTGCCGAAAGCAGAAGACCACAGTGGGACTTATCTGTCCCTGGAGAATATCCTTCTGGATGGAGGAGGACATAGCAAAGCAGAAGACTGCTCCGTCTGTCTGATGCAAACCAGTGTCTGGTTCTTCAGAGCCCCACTCTGCTCCCCCACAGCTGAAATGTGCCTCTGGGCAAGGGATCCTTGGTCTTGGAGGGGGAAAAAAAGAGATAGTGTTATTTCTTCCTCCTTGGAAGGGAGTCCCGCGTGGGGTGGGCCCACACTGGTGCGTCTCTCACTCAGCATGGCCAAAGCGTGCAAGGAGGTGGCTTTGTGGCACCAGGAGAGGGGACAGAAGCTGCAGAGCACCATGGACCCACCAGCTCTCCGCCTCTGGCCCAGTGAGCTAATGGGGTAAAATAGCCCGAAAGGACCCTGAGGATGGCAGGGATTTATCCACGGCTACATGGTGGCAATGCCATGGACCAAGGGCAAATTCCCTGCACATAGAGCAGCTGTTGGGGTGAGACCTCCACACTCATCACAGCGGCTCCTCCAGTGCCCGAGATACCTGCGCTTTTTGAGCCCCACGTACAGCTGGTTTCAAAGCTTATCTGTAGTCAGTTTTACAATATAAAGTGTCTTTGTTTAGTCAACAGAACCACTAATACATGTGATTTTGTGTTAATAGAGCTGTAAGAATTTTAAGTACCTCTTGGGAACGTGTCATTTTTGGTTGGCTTTTTTAGGCATCACAGGGTGCTGCGTTTGTCTTTGTAAACAAGTATTGAATAAAACATTTTGCGCACAGCCGCACTTTGTACAAGTGTCATGCAGGTTTCTGAAGTTTCAGAGAGAATAAATCAATTGCAAACTGCTGCCTGGCAGTTGACTTCACTCCTTATAAATAGCTAATTTGGACAACTTCTCTCCGCACGTCATATGAAATTCAAATACTGTGCATATCGTTAATGCGGTCACACAAATCAAAACTGCTAGAGCCTCTTTGTAAGCCTGGGTTGCCACAGAAATGCCACAGCCGAGGGCAGATCGGGTCCAGGTTGCTCTCCCTTCCTTTTGGAGGTGATCCTCGGGAAACACCAGCAGGTCACTGGGCTCTGCTGCCTTGTCCCATGGGAGGAGCAAGAGCCCCATGGCCTGGGGCAGTGCCTGCGTGGTGGCCTAGTTCACTGCTGGTTGTACTGGTTGGCAGCCATCTTCACTCAGGGGAGAATTGGGCCCAAACTCAGCCGTGAAAAACAACCCTGGTTTAGTAAACCCAACGGAAAAACTTTATTAAAGTAAGGGTTGATTTCGCCCGGGTCTTTTGGCTTCGCAGCACTCGGCGCCGGGCACAGGGCAGATGCACAACCCTCCCTCCTCCCAAAGCACAGTGCTGCTGGTCTTGAACCCCACATGGGATGCAAACTTACCTGGCCCTCCCAGGAGGCTCTTAGCACCGTGCAGGATCCATCCAGGCTAGCCCAGAACTCAGCCCAAAGGCTCTAATCCTGGAAAGTGCTGAGCAACTCTGACTTCTGCCACTCATCTCTGGATTTTGGCACGTGTTCAGCACGAGCAGGATCAGCCCCTTGCTGTAATAATCAGGGAACGAGGAACTCAGCTTGACTGAATTTCCCCCCCGCCCCCCAATGCAAAAATGCTGTACATTCCTTTATGCAGGTTTCCATAGAGTTGAACTTCTACTATTTTTTTGTTGTCGCTGTTAAAGGGGTCAGCAATGCACTGTACAATGGGATCTGGCTGTCAGGAAATGTGGAGGAATTCAGGGACACTTTTAACATCTTGCTGGTGGGGTTGGAGTGCAGCATTAAAACCAGCATCCTGGAAATCTCCCCACCAAAGAAAAGAAAAAAGCCCGGAGGAACCCCGGGAGAAGTTACGAAGACATGCTGCTTTATTGATCCTAAGTTTAAATAAGTTATTTCTTCCCTACTTCCTGTGTTAAAATATGATATTCGAGCTTTAATCGCTTCAATCCTATTATTGTTCCTTTTAGCAAGTGATTGTGTAGCCCCTTGCCGTGGGGAAATCCCCTGACCGCGGGTCCGTGTTATTTAGACAAGTACTCTTTCAGGAGTAAATGCCATTCTTAGCATAGGGAAGTACTTTAGGTCTAAAGGGGTTAAGAAGGCCTCCCTGCATTCAGAAACATGCAGGGGTCCCACCGTGCCAGTTCCAGCCTTTTAAACTCTTTCCAGCTTTTTTTTCTTGCAACAAATCTGTCTGACTGCCACCAGGACATAGGAAGCGTGTGCCTGTCAAAGAAATCAAGTTTACTTTTTCTGACTTGTTAACAGAGGCAGGGTATAAATAGAGCTAACTCTGCTCAGACTATTAGCATTTCTCTTAAAATAAGGGGGTAACTTCCTAGGACCTTTAATCCAATGAGGTCCAGACCAAACTGCACTATCAACAGAGGCAGCAAAGGAGCTTGCTGAAGTTTTTACAGAAGTCAGGTGCATTTGGGTTCCTCGAAAATTTAAGGCTTACCAAAAAAAAAAAAAAAAAGCAACCCCAAGCAAAAAGAACTACCTCCAGCTCGGTCACTGCCATTGCCCTGGAGAAGTTCTGAGATGTTGGTGGTGCTGTTCACTCGGTGGATGTGGATCTTGCTGGGGAAGAGCAGTGTCCTCTTGCTTCTGGAGGTCTCTCTGAAAGGGAGAGCTTTACCTCCAATCCGGTATTCCCACGCTGGGATATGCCCCAATGACATGAACCCCAACCTGTGGGTAGACGCACAGAGCACTTGCAAGAGAGAGTGTGAAGCTGATCTGGTGAGTGATGCACATTTTTATCTCTCTGCGTGGCGGGCGATGGGGTTTGTTGGGGGGTTTGCTTGCACCGCAGTCTGTTTCTGTTCCAGATAGAAAGGTGCCGGCACCGTGCAGGACTTGATGCAAGCAGCGCACGTATTTAATTGACTAGTGACCTATATAAAATAGAAAAGGTTTGATGAGTTATCAGTTAAGTGGGGAGGTGTGTGGCAACTGTCACTTATGCTGATGTGGGTACAGCGCTTGCTCTGTTTGATCATTTTTCTTGCTTTCTTGTCAAAAGAAATGTCCGAATTTGATACTCCAGAACTCAGCATGCCTTGGGGCCAATCCATAGTATTTTAGCAGTGTCACCATGGTCTTTGTTGTTGGTGGCCATCATAAATGCTTTATATTCCTGGGAGGAATTCTGTGTGAAATGGTTTGATTTAACATGTAAATCATCAGCCTTTGCTGCACTTGAAACACAAAGCGTGCTTGGACTGCAAAATAGGGGCACAGTTAAAATGACCAGGCAGATGTTCTCTGTGATGCTCCCAGCTCAAAATGTGCTTAGCTTACAACCCTAAAATTCATTTTTCAACCTGTCAGCACTGCCAGCTCAAGCTGGCATCTGAAAATACCTGCTTGTCCTGCCTCTTACATCATGTCCAACGGCAAAGCTCCTGCAGCCCAAACCAGGCTGACAGTAACATGTACCATGCTGAAAAAATTCATTGGCTTTATGTTCTGTAGCCAGGTTGTTTCTGCAATGCTAAACAAAGTGGGGAGAAAAAAAAATAGAGAAAAAGGCTGGCCATCAAGTAAACAAAGAGATTTGCTCAGATGGATCCCATCTGTTATGAATGAAGGTTCTCTTTTTACTTTTGCCATTCCCAAATAAACCCCCTTTATTTCAACTACCAGGTGCAGCAGCGAATATTGAAACACCTGCAAAAACCCAGCAGCAGCAGTAGAGGACGTTGTTTTAATAATTTACTGGTCAAAACCTGAAAGCCAGAAGCCACTGGCTAAAAATATTTGCTTTTGCCTTGTGGCAGCACAGAGTCCTGGGACCTCTCATGGAGTGAGTGGTCTGCAAGCAGCCAAGGACTCTGCCACCGACTTTGCTAAAGCCACGCTCCTTAACCTCAGCTGAAAATGTTACTCGTTCTGGTTTCTAACTTTGCTTCTGAAACCTAGTAATGTGCA